TGTGATGACGGATGCAATAACAGCTACGATAGTAGCTCGGAACTTCCTCACTCCTAAAGATAGTCAGCTGCTTTCAGGATGGTCCGATGAGTTGTCCGTTCAAGAGTCCCTAGCTCTCAGTGTTCAGTGTGCGGGCTCTGTGTCCAACATGGGCCAACGCCTACTTGCTCGATCCCGTCAGGTTGAATCATTGATGGTAGAGGTGGAAAATCTCAAGCAAGAGATCAAACAGCTTAAGCACGAGAATAGAAGTTTGCACGTGCTTGCAAATAATTATTCGACAGGCATGAAGAGGAAGCTTGATGAGATGCAAGAATCTCAAGGTCGAATTCAAAGTGACCGTCAAAGGCTTGCGGCTTTCTTCCAGATGCACCTTTTTCCTGCGTCATCTAGCGTTCCACCAAGTATTGGGGCCTCGAATGATCTATCTTCGGTGCCTCCCGCTCCTATGCCTCTCGCTCCGATGCCTCTTTCTCCGATGCCTCCCGCTCCGATGCCTCTTGCTCCTAGAGTTTTGCCACGTAGTGGGGCTTCACGTAAACAACCTTTGTGAAGGCTCCATCTTTCTCTTTCTTTGTTAGATACTTTTTTTTTTTCACTTGTAATTTCTCGAAAATCAATGAACATGCTTTGTTTTATTCAGTGTATTGGATTGCCTCCCAAGTAGCGCTTTCTTTTACGTCTTGCAGCCGGACGAGACCTTCTTAGGCTCAATTGGAACTCACGGCATGGAATATATCTTTGAATGGAAGGTGATACTTGAATTGATCCGGTGAAGGTTTAAATTCAAAATTGGGTGCCTGAATCATCAACAACCTGTTAGTATAAAAGGAAATTGAAATTCGGGGAAGTGCCTTACCTGTGTGCTCTGACATAAACTCAAGAATAAACACCCATTCGAAAGTTGTAGGACTAGAAAATTCAGCTAGATTTGGTGTTTTGAGAGTTATGACTTGTCCTGTGTCATAAGATCCAATTTCTTTGCGAATTGTTGTCTCAAGTATATCATCTTTGATGAATTCTAGACATTCCCCAGTAACATCTTGCTCTTGATTCTTTGGAAAGGATTCGAAGATGCCTTTCTTACCCTCTTCTTCCTTGGATTGCATGATCCTGCAAGGATTAGGGACATATGGTGGAACGGGGTTAGAAATAATTAAATTTGGAACAACCTTACATTTGTTGGACGGCCTAGGAGCTTGAAGTGGTTGCGGCAAGGGTTGCTCCACCCTTGCCGTGGCTTTGCCCTTCCTCTCTTCCTCTTGCAACAGCTTTTCCTCCTCGTCTTGGCTTGATTTTGGTGGTTCTGAGGTGGTTCCAACTTCCTCTCTTCCTTGCTCACGAAATTGCCCCATGAACTCGGCAATTTGTCCCACTTGCTTCTCCAAGTTGTCCACCATCTTGTCTTGGATTTGCCTCTCTTTGTTTTGAGTTTGGACTTCCTGCGTCAAAGTAGTAAGTAATTGAAAAATCTTATCATTATCACTTGAATTACCTACATTACTTTGGGCAGGTTGTGGTGGCTGCATAGGTGTTGTATAGAACTCCTCATATGGTTGCCAATATTCTCTTTGTTGAGCCTCCTCGACTTGGTTTTGTGAGCCCTGCACCAAAGAAATTGAATGATCACTCCAATCCGAATTGTAAGTATTGGAAAACACGTCGTTCCTTGATTGATTATGATCAAATGTACTAACTCTTTGCGTTTGTGACAAAAGAGAAGTAAGATTTGTTATTTGAGCTTGAATATTAGCAAGTGCCATGTCTTGCTTCTCTAGTACCTAAAATCAACAAAACAAAACACAAATAAAAAAACTCTAACAAAATAAAACTAAACAGAAAATAACAATCCAAAGGATTAGCAACTTTGCTAATCCCCGGCAACGGCGCCAAAATTTGATGCGTTACGAATGTGACACACACAAATTAAAACGCTCTTGTGACAATTGTAGTATAAGTATAAGTAGGGATCGTTCTTAACCGGGGATTAGGAGGGATTGCAAAATCACTTGGAAACTGACTCAAAAACGTAAAATAAAGTTTAAAACACTGAACTAGACTCAAAGAATGCAAAACTAAACACTTAAAACACTAAAACAAACCAAAAGACTCAAACAGCACCCAAAACACTCAAAACAGCCTTAAAAACACTTTCTGGGCAGTTTTGAGCACTTTGACTACTTTGGACGAAATTGGGTAATAAAATGAATTAAAACACTTAAAAAACACAAATTAAGACACTTTCTAACTAAGTTGGACACTAAAGCAAAGAGGGATTGAGTTTTTGACGAAATTAAATAAAATGCACAGAATGTAATTCAAACAGATTGTAAAGATGAATTTGATGAAAATATGGATGAAATGCTAGCTAGAGGGTTCTTCTCCACACATGTCACACTTGCACACAAAACGATTTCTAATTGCTTTTCAATAAATCATGAATTCTCAACCCCCCAGATTAACCGTGAATTGCACTAATTAACCCTCAGATTTTCCTAACGTTATTGAATTGGATGATTGCATACGACAACCCAAAACATTCCCCACAAGTCCCCTACATGATTGCATAATAGAGATACAAGCAAGAATCATTAAGTTCTATGGAAACCATAAGCATTGACGAAGCACTTGTTACTATGATTGCATGAAACTTATGCCAAGAATTTATTTAACGCGATTGAGATCATCAACCTTTATTAGTTGTGAATATAATTCCATAACGATTAGGTGAAATTTCCTTATATCCTAGCATCCAATTTATGCATGATAATTAAGCGTGTACTCTCAACCAACATATACAAATCAATGTAACTCACATAGATAAGTAAATTGAATTCACAACTTATGAAACGCAATTAGAAGTAATCAAATCATATCGCAAGCATAAACATGTATTTCGAATCCCCCCCTAGCCAAGGGGGGGTTTAGTTCCTCATACGTACAAGACAAAGATAAGTAAATTTAATCATTGAATATCAAGGAGAGAAAACACCTAAAAATTCCAACAACTCAAACTTGAATTGTATGAACGTTTAAGCCCTCTTCTCCTCCTCTTTGTTGCGGCCCAAGGGTTTGTTGTGAGTTTTGGGGGTTATGGATGGTGTAGAATGATGTGTTTAGGATAGGGATGGATGTAGGGGACTTCAAGGCTTATTTTTGGGCAGAAAATATGAAGAATGGTGAAGTATGGATGTGTTATAGAGAGGGGATGAATTTCTGGCGTGAATGGTGAATGAATGAATGGTTTATGGCTGCAATGGAGGTTTATTTATAGGTGGATGAATGATTAAAGAGGGAATATGACAGCTAGGGAGAGAATGTGGCTGCCATCATGAAGAGTGCATGGATGTGGCTGAATAATCACATGGGAAAGCATGTGGCTGAATGGATTAAAGAAGGAATGATGATGGGAGAGCATGTGGGTGACAGCTAGGTTGGTTGGTGGCTGCAATGGAGGTGTGGAATGATGATGGGAGAGCATGTGGGTGAATTATAGAATGGGAAAGCATGTGAGTGACAGCTAGGGTGATTGGTGGCTGCAATTATTTCGTCCATCCTCTTGGCTCCAAGCATATGATATTCATTCCAAGCTCTAATTTACTCCAAAATGCTCCAAAATGAATCCTTTTGCATACTTTGCCCTTAAATCCTGAAAATACATAAAACTAGCTTAAAAGACTACTTTACTAAGGAAAAACACTTTAAATGCACAAGACAAGCTAAACTAAGGTGCATAAATATGCTTCTATCATGACCAAAACATTAACATATAAAACAAGTGTAAAATTGAGAGTATAAAATTTTGTTTTTGATGTTCTTGTGCTTTTAAGATGCGGGCAAAACAAAATTAAAGTTTATAAGTAGTAATAAAGGTCATACTTGTTCCTAACAGTGGTAGCAAAAATACGCTATCTTCAATTTTGACGAAGTTGTACTTATAAAAAAATCACACATTTGATCAAAGAATCCGACGCCTAATTAGTTTCTTTGAAAAAACCGTATAGCGAAAAGCTTACAGAAATTTGGGGAAGATGGAGATATTTATAGGAGGAGGTGGCCGGCCATGAGGTTAGGTTTTTGCCCTACACATGGCGGCATCCTATTTGCCAAGTAATGTTATTCGTAGGATGCACAAGGAAAAAATATTAGGAGATAATATTTTGAAAGATGATGGGAATATCCCTAATTGATTATGGTAGGGATTCCTTACTTGATAGAGATAGAGTTGGTTTTCAATTGAGAATGTATTAAAGATATGATTTAGTAATTAATCATTTCTTTAATGCATTTGACTTTTCCATGCCAAAAGCAGGGGAGCTTTGAGAAGTTGTGTCAATTGCTTGGACTAAGGGATGCTGAGCGTGTGGGAGTATTTGAGAAAAATCCACGTGTTGCCTTCTAAATTTTTGGGATTATTTTTGGCTCCACACTAACCATTTCTAAAAGAAAACACTTATCTTGATCCCTCCTTTTTCTCTCATTAACTCACCTTCAATTTCTCAATAAATTCCACAATTTTCGACTACCAAGAAAACTCACCTTCACATACATACATTTCTCAAATCCAATTATTTTCCGATTCTCTCTCGACTCGATAATTACTATACATCCATTATTGTTTTTTTTTTTGGTCGAAAATAAATTTAATTACCAAGATAGCACAAGTAGATACATGAAGGCCGAAATACATTTTAAAGCACCAAAAAACAAAAAAAAAAAACCCTAAACATCCATCGTTGTTTTGGATTGATTTGATTGCGCGGTTGGTCGATTTTGGTGCTGGATTGTGTTGAAAAGTTTGTAAATAAATTTTACACGCAATATGCTTTGATGAAAGAATAATTAATTCATATGAAAGTTGTAAGTACAACCTGCATGGATTCTGAGTTTAGAAATTCAACAAGTCAGTAGATTTTGGTAGAATTTCACAATCTCTCGTCCCAAATTACTTAACAATTCTGAAATACCCTCTGGAAACATCCGAGAATACAGAGTTATAATCACTAAAAACACCGTATTACGTCGTCCTATATCATTAAGAAACAATCGAACAATTGGAGTGGAATACAATTGAACAATACAGATGAATTGCCTAGCTACAAGATGCATGGCAGCAGACCAAGAGATACTGTTGGCAACATTTGACACTTACGATTCGATATATGTTACAGAAAGTTCAACTATTGTACTGAATGAACAAAATTTGTTGAGGCTTCCACCTTTTCCAAGCTAGAACTGATACAGGAAATACAAGTGCGACGAAATAAACAAAGAAACAGAAAGTAAGCACAAATTATGTGCATCAAAGAGGCATTGCATGAAATCATAGCTGCTGGTCAAGATCAGGATCTCTAGGAGTTCTTGGAGATCCCAGATACTCGGAAACACCCGACACGTAATCCTTCAACCACGAAGTGCTGCGTGTCAACCATCCTGCTTCTTCTCGTTCTTGAACCTGAAGCATGCTTTTCCTTTCTTCTTCCACCAGTATCTCCAACCATCTCTTGGACATGAAGATCTTGATAGCTTCCACACCTTGTTGAACTATGTCCGGGGGTGGAATCACAAGAGGGTTCCCGTCCACGTTAAGTTTGGTCAAGTTCTCAAGGCGGCCAAAGGTATCTGGAAGAGCATGAATCTGATTGTTGCTGATATCGAGTTCCTTGAGGTTGGTTAAATCACCAAAGGTCTCCGGGAGCTCAGTTAGATCGGTAAAATTACTGGCGAGACTGAGGATTTCGAGATTGGTCAACCGACCAAAGTCTAGAGGAAGGCCGCGGAGCTCATTGAAGTGAGCATCCAAGCAGCGCAAAGACCTCAGCTCACAAACAGAGGTAGGAAGGGACCGAATCTTGTTTAACTGGATAGAAAGCTTCTGTAGATTGGCCAACTCATAACCAATGTTGGTTGGCAGGTACGTGAGGCCGTTGAAGCTCACGTCCAACTCCACCAATGACCTAATCAGATTTCACAAAACCAAATTACTAATCATTCCATTCCATTCCTCACTCGAAATTCGAATGATTAAAACATATAAAGTTGTTTACCTGCATTGACAGATAGAGTCGGGAAGGGCACTTAGCTTGTTCCCAGTAGCATTCAGAACCTTCAAATTTTGCAACCTCCCAATTGATTCCGGCAATGACTCCAAGAAATTTGAAGACACGTTTAGCTCTTCCAGTTTCTCTAATCCACCTATTGACTCAGGAAGAACCTGTCCAAAATGTTCTTTTAATTCCTAATCATAATCTCAAATCTCAATAACTTAATCGAATCGAATCAAAACAAATCAAACCAAACCAGAATCGAATCAAAACAAATCAAACCAAACCAAACCAAACCTTGAGTTCATTTCTGGAAAGATCCAGCAGGAGCAAACCGCGAATGGAGCCGAAGGCCTCGGGCAAGAACTGTAACTGCCGACCCGAGAGGTTGACCCGATCCAGAGTGGTCCCGGAGGCCTCCTGCAGGATCCCAGCCACCTCCTCGGGGACTTGGCCGTTGGTCAAACCCTCATCGCCGCCCGGCTCCTCCTCCTGAATTTCCACGACCCCGGCCATGGCCGACTCGTAAATCTTGACTAGCCTCTGCTCGGCGTCCTTGAGAAGCTTGTCGTAGGCGGAGTGCAACTCATCGAGCTGCACAATAGCCTTGTAACCTTGCTTGTCCTTGTCCGCCTGCTCGCGGAACTGAGCCTCTTTGTCGGCCAGGTGAACCCGCCACTGGAGCCTGTCAAAGTCGGGAGGGCGGGGGGAGAGCACGAGCTCCTCTAGTTTCTTGGCCAAAACGGAGTCGATTTCGGCGAGCCTGGCCTTGGCGGTGTCGACGAGCTCGTGGTCGGGTCGGTCGCCGAGGATTTTGAGGACGGAACGGGTCTGGGAGACGTCGGAGACGGCGCGTTGCATGGCGGCGAGGACTTTGGGGTCGGAGAGGTGGGGCATCTGGTTAAGGATGGGGGGCTGGTCGGACGGCTGGGCGTCGATGCGGATTTCACAGAGGTCAGGAGGAGTGGCGGGGGCGGGTTTTGAGGGCCCGGGACCCAAGGAGGGGAGGCGGGACATGACGTATGAAAGCATGGGGAATTTGGAGGGGTTGGGATCCATTGAATGGGATGGGATGGGATGGGATGCGATCGGAGGGACGGAGAGTGGGTGGTGGCTTCTGGGATGGGATTGGATTCGATTAGGAAGAAGAAGACGACGAGGAAGAAGGTGGTCAGTGCTGTGTTTGTGTCTGAGTCTGAGTCTGTGTTTCTTCGTTTTGGGAATTTTGGAGCAAACGAGGTCGGACACTTCTAGTGTTTTGACGCCATGTGATGTCATAATTCTTCTATCTACTACTGGATAAAATAGAATACTATACTATTACGGTCCAGTCACTCCACTGATGCCAATGGATTATGCTGACACTAAAATACCCCTCCAGCTTCGGGTGATTATTATGGCAAAGCCCCTAACCGGTCATCTTTCTTATAAAAAAAGATTAAATTTTTTTTTCTTGATCCATGTGGTGAGATATTATTTTTAAATCAATCCATGTGAAGAAAAGAATGTTAGTTTTAACCGTGTGGTGAAGTTCGTTATCAATTGTAATCTAAATTGAAATTTCTGTTAGGTAAATAGGTGATTCCATTCTTTTTTCTTTTCTTTTTGCTAATTCCATTTTTTTATAATCAACAAAAATAGAAGGGGAAAAAAAATCCTTCCCCAATCCCTACCTTTGTCAGCCACAGCGACAACGACCACCCACCACCTTCCCCCTCTCTCTCACATGACTCTAACTGTCCCATCCACCACTGTTCTTCTTAAAATGAAACTAAATTCAATGTTTGCATAATAACTTATATTCTAAACTAAATGCGACGACATACTTTGTGATTTTTTAAATCTTGATTTTGGATTATTGGCTCTCTTGAAATGCGAAAGTCTGATAATATGAACCTTGTAATTTTATTGTTTATTTATGGGTAAATTACATTTTGCCCCCTCAAGTTTGGGGTCGATTTCAATTTCTTACAACATCTTTAAAACATTAAATTTGATACATTGATTTATCATTTTATTTCAATTTCATACATCTGTTAGAAAATCTATTAAGTAAATCATTAAGTGATGATGTGGCAAATATGAGATTTATATTTGTGTTGATGTAGCGGCCAAATTTGTTCCATATGGCAAAAAAAAAAAATTTCCATTTCAAATATAATAATATTTATTTTATTGAAAAAAAAAACATCAAACCCAGAAAATGATTCCCCTCCCCCCCCCCGGCCGCGGGTGGGCGACCCACTCTCTCTCCTCCTCCGCTTCCTTCATCTCCCTTCCCATCCAAATACCCACCCCACCCCCACCTCCCCCGCAACACCCCCCCCCCCCCAAAAAAAAAAAACACCCCACCCACCTATTTCCGGAAATCTTCACCATTTCTTTCTCTTCCTCCTTCTCTCATTCTAACCTCGAATTGGTGTTGATTGGACCCATGAGATGCAACCAACAACGATATCGGAAAGGGGATTTTGGTATTTGACAATCAAAGGAGTGCTATTCTTCCTGCAAAAAAATATGGGTTTTTTGGGTTGGGAGTCACGTCAGCACAAATGCGGATCCCATATTTGCCACGTTATCACTTAACAATTTCCTTAACAGATATATGAAATTGAAATAAAATGATAAGTCAATGTATGATATTGAAATGTTTTAAAGATGTTGTAAGAAATTGAAATCGACCCCAAACCTGAGAGGGCAAAATGTAATTTACCCTTTGTTTATTCTTTTATTGTAGCTCTAAAAGTTTTAAAAAATAAAAAAAATTTATGTCCATATGACGTTTTATGAATGGTTGATGGAATCAATAAAAAAGGAAATAACAATTTTGTCCTTTCAAATGACAAAAGAATGAGGAAAAATCCAATTTGGACTATGATTGTGTTTGGGCCCAAAATATTATGATTGGGCCGAGCAGCAAGATGTGCTCGGCCCAAGGTAATGACACATGCTATGGGCCAAATAATGAAACCCGGACCAGCTGGCAGGGTCGGCCAGATCCTATCTTAAGTAGTCCAGATGAATGAGGAAAGGTCGAGGAAATCCTAGTGCGACCAGGATTCTCGACCGGCAAGGGATAAAGCCTCAAAAGGAGGAGAATTCAGAATCCCAGTAGGACTAGGATTGTTCGAGTTAAAGGTGAGATGGGACAAGGACTCCCAATCCAAATCAGAATGGGATTCAAGGAGCGAGGTGCTATAAATACAAGAAATTACGCAATAGAAAAGAGCCTTCAACATCAGCATACAATTGCCCTGCGCAAAACCTCTCAAACACCTTGAGATTTTTCCTTTTCTTTTCCTGCCGACACACCTTCAGTTTGGATAAACAGCACTGTGGAAGCAACCGGTGAGCACCTTCAGTTTGGATAAACAGCACTGCTGCCGCAGAATCAGCCGACCGAGAAACACCTTCAGTTTGGATAAACAGCACTGCGTCGAGGTCGACCGATTATCTATCCAAGTCTCGGCCGAGAAGGGTTTTCGAACCTTTGTTGGTAGAGGTCATCTGACTAAGCCTTTTCGGCGTAGTTGGGTGTTACGAGTTGCATTGCTCGGCGTATTGGACGCCGAGTAAGTTTATGATTGGATACTCGCAAGTAAGTTTCAGGGTTCGGCATTCCGACGGCCGAACTACGTTTACCATCAAGACATACATCACATTCGAGTACCTGTGCCCATATAGTTTGGTCTCGATTCGGCGTGCTTATACTCTTACGAATATAATCACAGTGACCGAATCAAGGTCCGACGATTTGTGAACTTCGTAGAATTAGTAGCCTTGTCTTCACGCTATAGAACCCAAAGGCTGAGAGCGTTTCTTCCTCGGTCACAATCGCAAGATACAGAAGTCAAGAGCGCACCCAACGCGACATCACATTTTACTCCTCGGCCGAGCTCGGCCGACGAGTTGACACGCCCCGCATTCAACCGAAGGACGTAGTTAGCTCATTAGTTACTCGGCCTGCGCGCCACGTAGGTTTTGTAATTTTTGTAGTCAACATTTTGGCACGCCCAGTGGGACCATTGTGCTAAACCTTCGGAGTTCATGACCGTTGAGACACGGTCTACCAAGAAGAGAACAACCATGGGAAAGTCAACAGCTGACTTACCAGTGCAAGGCCTTGGGCAGGATTCGCACCCAGCAAAAAATCCGATCATTGCTATGCCACCCGAGGCTACAAGTGTGACACGCCGAGAAAATGAGATCTGTCTCGGCGAGCAACCGCACAACGCGACGATCCCGAATCAAACGACGCCCATGTTTGTGGAGGGGATAGTGGAAGATTGCGACGACGATGGTGGAGAAGGCTCTGATCCACCAACTAGGTCGTTTCTTCGGAGACGACTTGATGAGCAGTATCGTCAGGTCGAGCAGTCAATTGGTCAAAAGATGAATGATTTGCTAGAAGCAATACGAAGTAACAACGATACACAGACCAGAATGCTTGAAATATTAGTTAGTAAAGCCTTCGAAGATGGCCAGGTCGGCCAACCTCGGCAGCTCTCGACGAACGTGCCCATACCAGCCGAGAGAGGGTCCGCTCGACCGCAACCAGTCACCTTGGAAAGAAGAGGACCAGGAAATAGATCCGAGGGACCAAGCCAGGGAGAAGAAGCCGCTTCCGTGAACATGACCGAGGTCCAGAGAATGATTGATTCGGCCCTGAAGAAAGGGCCGAAGTTTCCAAAATTCATTCATCCATACCCGGCTTACGTAGAAAGGTTTGAATACCCACGAGGATTTAAGATCCCTGATTTCAGCCTCTTCGCCGGGGAATCGTCTTTGTCCTCATTAGAACATGTAGCTCGTTTCACAGCGCAGTGTGGGGACGTCAATAGCGACTTCTACAAACTACGTTTGTTTAATTTTTCATTGACAGGCTCCGCTTTCGCCTGGTACATTAATCTTCCACCCAATTCTGTGCAGAGTTGGGAGGAGTTGGTCGAAAAGTTCTATGAACAATTCTATCGGCCAGGGATGGAGATGTCCGTATCATCCTTGGCCAGGATGGCTCAAGCATCCGACGAATCTCCAATGGAGTACTTAACAAGGTTCAAGTCGGCCAGGAATTGGTGCCGAGTACCACTCCCCGAAGTGGAATTTGTCAGGATTGCTCTCAACGGATTAGACGTGGAGTACAAAAAGAAGTTCTTGGGGCCAAACATTCGCGATATGTACGAACTTGCTCAACACGTCGAACAGTATGATTATCTGCTCCGAGAAGAAAAGATATCAAAGTCACCTTCACGGGGAACGTTGTATAAGAACCCCACGGTTAGCTATGCCTCGGCCGAAAGCGGGGACCATCAGTATGTTAGTGTGGATGCGGCCGAGATAGTAATAGACAAGCCATACATCTGCAAGGCTCTGGCTCAAGTAAATGGCAAAGACACCAAAGCCCATTCGGCCGCCGAGGAAATGAATAAGTCTTCGAAAGTCTATACTTTCGACATTACCAAGGCCGATGCAATTTTTGATCAATTGTTGGCAGCAAAGATCATCAAGCTTCGGCCAGGACATATTATCCCTAAGGCCGATGAATTGAAGGGAAAGGTATACTGCAAGTATCATAACTCTAATAAGCATGCGACCAATAATTGTGTCGTATTCCGGGATACAATCCAAAGTTGGATCGAGAAAGGAAAGTTGAAATTTCCAGAAAAGCAGATGGCGGTCGACGTCAATCCCTTCCCGTCAACAACAATTGGTATGGTGGATGCTCATCTTCCAAAAAACAAAGGGAAGGCCGAATACGTCCCGGTGCAGCATATCCGTCAACGGAATGGTCGAACAAGGCTAAAGCTCGATATCTTTTCGAATGCACCACCCACGGAACAATCGGGACCACCCGCCTGCGAGCCTACGATGAGGTCAAATACCGACGATTCTCATGGATCAAAGATTTTATGTGACCATTGTAAAACACCAGTTGAGCCTGGGAAGAAAACATCTTCAACACCACCCAAGGCCCTTACCGCGCCAGTGACATCACCAAAGGAACTTGGGTCGCGACGTCAAGTGTTTGATCGACTCGGCCCGCAAGTCCGGCCGAGAGACCAGGCCTCGGTC